GTTTGGGTTCCATTAAAAACCTAGAAGAATAAAAACAGAAAAAGAACTAAAAAGGGTAAGACAAAATACCTATTCTGCAAAACTGCACAACTGAAACCAACAAGCTGCCTAGTGTGTTTTAAGTGTCTGGGACGCTACCTGAGTGGGAACTCCCAGTTGGTGAGTCAATGGATCGTCACAACCAGGACAGTTACTGGGCCGTCGTTCGATGTGTCGGGCACACCAATCACATCGCTCAAGTGTGAACACGTTCGCCTGTTCAGATAATTCAGATGCGTCCAACGTGCATGTCACGTGTCGGGAGTTGAAATCCCGGTGCGGGCATTGGATATCTGCTTCATTTTCGCTCTCATTAGACCGAAACTCAAACCCAGTGTACTTCCCTTTGGTGTGGACTCACCGGAATAATTACACCAGAACAGGAGGACAACCGTTCAAATGAGAGTGGTGTGAATGTGAACAAAAAGAAATTTCTAGCAAGACAAAAGCAGCAGGTTGTGACAGGATTGCTTAATTGTAGTAGTAACCATAACCATAAAAATGTAGAAATGTCGGGTCGTGAAACAAAAATTGATCACTTGTTTCGCCTAGGTTAAAATCCATCACATGATTCAGTCGCCTGCTATTCAGGTATAAAATCCGAACTCCAGAACCAAATACCGACCTCACTTGTGTGTACGGCGACATGTATGAAATCAAACGTTACGAATCTGACTACCAGGGAGTAGCCAGAACATGCGAAGTGCTCAACAGCTGACATAGCTTCGGCGAATTCACAGAAACAGATTGGAAACGCGGTGAGAACCACAAAACAATGGAAAACAAGCATAGAAAATGGGACATACCGAACTATTGGGTAGCACAATCAAGGTGAATGATTTGTCAAACCAGCGGTTGTAACAGTTGCCCGTGAGGAACGTTTTGCTAAGATAAGAAAGATCCTCATTGACGTCCGAGTCCAGATCACGTTCCTCATCATCCAGAGCTAGAAAGAAGGCGGCCTGTAAAGAAGCAGGTGGGGAAACAGTTTACCTCATCGGCAGATTGGTCGAAATTTGTGTACCGGTAATAAACACCACGCATTGCCCTAGCATTCCAGAGGACAGCCAGGCCACCTTCCAGAACGCCAGCAAACGTTCCGATCGCAGAATGGTGCGGGAGCATCGGCGAGTACGATTGCCATTGATTCATTCAAACTTTGGGTATTCCCCCCCACCGCACCACAGCCTACTTGTACTCGTGCAGTACGGTTTATAAACTTTGGCAAACACATGTTCTCTGACTACAATGAATGGCTCACACAATAATATGCACAGTATGAGTGTAAGTCTACGAATGAATCCACAGTATCCTAATTCTTTGGTCACAGTCGTGTGTCACGTTATCCTCGCAGGCAGATGCGCATAGGTAAAACCCCTAAACAGCCAAGAATGTGGACTGTTGATGAGCTCGAACAAGAGTGACACTCGAATCTGGTTCTGCCCTCCTTTGGTGTGGACTCATCAAAATGATTGCGGCAGGACAGTAGGACGATTGTTCAAATGAGAGTCATGTGAGTATGCATTCTACCGTCCATCTGACTTTCAAGACCTCGGCAGACACAGCATGGATCCGCCGTGACCAGAAACGGACTGCCATCAAGTGTTCTGGATGCCGATGTAGTGATAACGGGAAACGGGTATCCATGAAGATTGCCGAATGACTTAGGCGCATAGGTCCTCAGGAAAACGATAATTTCGTGATTGAACAACATCTCTACCAAGCAACATATGATTCATGAGCCCTGGACAAATATGCACAACACCGTCGCAACATGTGACCAGAGCGCCGCTGCATAGGCCAGATAAGTTGATGGATGTTTCTAATGCTTCCGAATGAAAGGACAAAGACCTATCGTGCTTCCTTTGCTTTGTAAAGCAGTTTTCAAAGAGTTACTAGTCCAAAAAAAATCTGAAACGATTGATGGAAATCGATTTCGGTAACCACTGGTTACACGATAAGTTTGAATGTCAGCGTTGCTGAACGTCAACCAATGAACAGTTTCTAATGAAATTCATAAAGCCTACAGAGAATGTTTTCAAGAAAACCTAATGAGTGGAGAATGACCGACACTCGGATTGGGAAGGACACATGTGGGACGGCATAAGTCGGTGTGATTAAGACCAGTGTCTTGCCCCATTTTTCGGTCGTGTCGTCAACCCAGGATCTCGTTCCAATAGGGTACTTGGGCAACCGATTGTCTAAACCAGCGTGAAGGATGCAGCCTGATGGAGTTTCCAATTGGACAAGGAGCTGGTAAAACACCAGAAATCATTTTTATCAGTCCAGCATAATTCCATAATCGATACAGATATCATACTGTGTGATCCTGCTCGTCAAGAACTTTCCAATTAATACAGTATGGCTGTTGGGAACCCGAGAATACCTTCAAAGCTCGCGAGCTATTGCACGACACACAACAAATTGCACTTCCATGTAGACTTTTTTCGCCCTTCGGACATCGAAATGTTGATCCACCAAACAAAAAAGTATGACCTAAGTTGTGCACAAAAAATTATGAATATAAACCAGTAAAGCAAAAATATCCAATAAGTGCAAGGATCTCAACGCAATGCTTTTAGCGGTCGAAGCAAATTTTCGATATGTACATCAGACCGATGGAAAATGTGGGCTGAATGACGGTTGAATCATCATCATCATCATCATCATCATCATCAAGGACAGCATGACGTCAGTGTTCAAAACCGATGCTTCACTACCGTACAATCACGACTTAATTGAAAGCTCTATTGTGGAGAAAAGAATACAGATGGACGGGGGAGGGACTTAGTGCTAGCTTATCACAATCAATCCGAGGTGCCTGCATATCCAGACATTCAGCAATCTGGACTGGATAGAAAATGACAACAAGAACGCCACTGACATCGGTTGGAAGCCATATCTTGTACTGTCTTCAACTAGGTGCAGTGGGGATCACACGGTCCCCATCCTGGAAGGCGAGTAGCATCGACAGCACCTGACAGTTCAGCAAAGTATCTCCTTTGCCAATATCGGAAAATATTAGACAGAATGGGAGGACGTGTATACATATGCAAATATACATGTGCGCATACACGTATGAAGATTTGATATAACCTGGAGAAGTTATTAAAAACTCAAAAAGAAGGCAATAACACCATCAAAAATAAGTAATCCAGCTACGTACTCGTTCGATCGCGTCAAGTGATGTGCGGTTTATCCCACTGGAAAAGAAAGTCGATCGAGCAATCGCCCAAGCATCTCGCGGACCGGCGGTAAAAGCGGCAAGCTTTTCTTCACCGATGGCAGGAGGCGAATCGTCCGAATACAGGATACGATTGAACATGCTTCGAGACAGATGAATGAATAAGAGATTGGGGAACACAGTCAAAATGTGCATTGTCCGAAACCAACTCGAATATGAGCGTACCCAAAATGTGTACGCACCACAATTCCGAACAGATCATTGATAAGCGGATCCGTAAAAAAGTATGCAACATCATCATCACCATCGACAGCATGACATAAGTGTTCAACACCGATGCTTCACTGCCGTACAACCAGGATTTGTTTGAAAGCCATATTTTAAAGAAAAGAGTAAAGATGGACGGGGAAGGGACTTAGTGCTAGCTTAACACAATCATTCCGAGGTGCCTACACCTCCAGACATTCACTCAGGCAATCTGGATAGAAACTGACAACAAGAACGCCACTGACAT